ACAATCTAATCTATAACAAATATTATTCTATATTATTTATATCTGTATATGTATACGTACAGAGAGAGAAAAAGAATAACAAACAAAAGAGTAGATTGTGGATGATCTCTTTAACTCCCCTGGTTATCGCCACATCTTTAGTGGGTTACTGAGCACCAATTTATAATTTTTACTTTTTTATTTTTACCATCTGATTCTCTTCATCATTTTTCAATTACTATATTATAATTGTTCACTCAAAAAAGCATTGTTCCCCAGACATTCCCCTTGGTTTTTCCCCTTAATTAACTATTGTATTTGGTCAACGGTGCTCTTCTCTCAAAAATAAATATTTATACATTAAAAAAAAAATTGGTTTGCTTCTCTCACTCATTTGGCTTTTACACATTTTACTCGAACCAAAGCTTTCATATTCTTTTCAACTTTTCCCCCTCCCTAGTTTCATGTCAGAAAATCTTTCCAGATTCATGTACAATTTACTTGATATATATGAAAAATAAAAATAATAAAAATAATATAGGGTATACAATATTGTAATTTGCAACATTTCCCTAGAAAGTTTGAGATGTTTACTTACGCTTTTCCAAAATAAATGTGCTCAATGTTATGTCTAAAGGATACGGTCCCGTTTATTTTAGCGATTTAAGTTTAAATTTTGAGTTTTATTACAATAAAAAAAATTTTAAAAATAATTATATTTAATTTTTTTTATTACAGTAAAAAGTTTTTATATAAAATCATATCTCAATTCAAATCAATGAACTAAACGAGCTCTACAAATATGAACCTTGAAAGAAATACAAAGTAACTTATAGGACTATCCTAGATTATAATTTCTACATATATATTTTTTTTATATGTGTATATAGAGTACTCGAATTCATGTTTATGGGATAAAACCTTACTTTTCAGATAAATTCAGTCTCATTAATTAAGTGGATATATAGGCTCCATTCGCATAGAATAAAACCTTATTATTCACATAAAATGGATCTTATTAGGTGAATAGATCAGCTCTAAATTAATGAGACCCACTATTATATAAGTATGACGATTTATCTCTTAGGCTTAATTTGAAATTACTTTTCTATCCCAAAATCAGTTTCTAAATCTCCTTAAAAGTGTTTTTTAAAGAATTTCTTACGAATCTACAGCTAAAATCAGAAGCAGTCTAAAGACAACTTTAGCTTTTAAATAGTGCGAGAATCATCATAATACAATTAATGAAACTTTCATAATACCCTTAATGAAATTTAAAATTTATAATTTTCTCAATATAAAATTCAGACTCATAATATAATATAATATAATAATAATATTATAATTAATAATATCATAAATATATTAATAACTCTAATATTATTATTTTATCTTATAATATGATATTATAATTATAATATAATTATAATATGATATTATAATTATTATTTTATAATATATTATATATTATATTGTATTGATATAATTATATTTAGTATATTAATAATACTATAATAATTAATATAATTAAATATTAATATAATCTTATAATTCTAATATTATTATATATTATAGTGTATTATTATTATAATATAATTGTAATTTTTAATTATATTATAATTGATATATTAATAAGAAAAAGGTGAAAAAAGGAAGGCTGCAAGAAAAGTAAAAAGAGTAGCTGCAACCAAATTGCAGGCCTGAAAAGCTAGTGTTGTCGCCATCAGAACACATCAGTTATAGGTGGCAGACATTTACTGTTCCCTCTAGATTTTTCAGGAGAGAGAATATAGAGAGAGAGAGAGAGAGATTTGGGGTTTTTTTTTTTTTTTTTTTACTTTTTCTTTTACCCTGTCATTTTCCAACAGAACAGTTCAAGTTCAGATGTGGAACAACAACCCTCGTTCTTCTTTCTTTTCTCTTTTTTTATTTATTTATTTTTTTTACAACTTAATTTAACGGTAATTTAATTTTATCCTTTCCAAACATTCCATACCGACAATCCCAACAAAAACACCACGACATCACAACGAACAATGTTTACAATCCCCACCTTCAATTCGAACATGGGCCCACTTTAATATTTTACTCTTTCCTTTTTGTTTTCTGAAATTTGCTTGTCCATTTGCGAGTTTGAAGGCCGAGATAGATGTGGTAAAATGCAATCCCATTTGTGTCGTTTTACCACTTGATACAGAAGTTAGGGTTAATTTTTTTCTGCTCTGTTTGTGGAATTTGTAAAAGGATAATATATCTATCATTTTTGTCTATTGTAAGGGAAGATGAAAATTAGGGGGCAAAAAGAAATTATGTGCAGAATTTGATAATTCTTAATTGCTTGTCTTCTGTTTGTGTTCGGATAAAATATGTGTATCTCTCTTCTATATTATGTAAATATAGGTAGCTTTGTAATGGAGGCTGATTGCTGATTAGTGATTAGTCCTCTTGTTAATAAAATCATATAAGATGTTTTCAGATTAATAACATAATAGCTTTCTTCTTCTTCTCTTTTCTGTTTTGAGTTTTTGAAGGATTTTAATTCCACTCAAATTGGGCATGAATTGATTAAAACAATTGGGCAATCATTATTCCTTGAATTTTATTTTCTATGTATATACGTATGGCACATTAGATTTGTCAATACTTAGATGACAAGAATGAGAGATAAAGATGTTAATTGGAGCCCAGAAATTGAGGAACAGTTGCTTAGGCTTCTTGGTGAATTCAATTTGTTAAGCTCGGCCGATACTGCACTAAATCGAGACAAATACATGCAATGGGCGATCGTGCTAAGTAATTATTTTAGCGTCCCAATTAGTTGGGATAAAGTTAAACAAAACACAGGTCGGTTAAAAAAAACTTTTGACGCAGAGTTCTTACTTCGTAATGCAACTGTATTTTTATGTTTGGTATTTTGAAACTTATTACTACTTATAGATGACTCACTTTTATTTATATATTTTTTTAATTGCCAGTTTACCCATTCTTCATAATTATTTATATTTAATTCTAATTATTCATATTCAATTGCATAAAATCAATTAAGTAAAAAAAAGTAAAAAAATTTATATACTATTCACAACTCAAGTCTTAGTAGAAACAAACACAAACTTAAAAAGATTCTCATCTTAAATCATAACTCAAATATACACAACTAAACACAAACTCAAGTTACAACTTAAACTCAAATTATAACTCAAACTTTGGGTTGTTCTTTTGCATTTTTTAGTTAGGGTGATTTGAGTAATAATTTTGAGTTGAGTTTGAATTATACTTGAGTTGAAGTTGTAACTTGAGTTTGTGGTTGGATGTGCACATTTGAGTTATGATTTGAATTGAAAATCTTTTTGAGTTTGTATTTGAGTGGGTTAAAACTTAAATTTGTATTTAGATAGTATTTTAATAAAAACTCAATGGTGATGAAAAATTTTAATAGGGTATATGGGTGGAGTTTTATTCGTCTTTTCGTTGTCAATGCATAGAAAAAAGAATCATCTCATCATAATTAAAATGAAAAAATTATGACATTTTTAAGAATAGAAAAAATACTGTTCATTAATTTGAGTTTGAGTTTCTGAATTCGAGTTGAAGGGAAAACTTGAACTCGAGTTTAGCTCCAAACTCGAGTTCAAATTCGAGTTCAAACTCAAATTTTATAAAAGAACATGAACTTGAATAAAATTATAACTCGAATTCAAACTTTTTTTGAGTTTTGTTCTTAAAAAAATGACCCCTTAATTTAAAATCTACATTCAAGTTACCATAACTTAAAAATTACAAAAGAACAAGCCTAGAGAAATTAACTCAAGTAACAGTGGGAAAATAAAATCGAAAACATGGTAGGTAACTCTCAATTAATTTTCGAGTTTGGTTTCGAATTTTAACACGCAGAACACGAACTTGGACCAAGTTTGGTTCTCATGTGGGCCTTTCTCGAGTAATCTGCAACAACCGAACAGGTCCATTATTATTAATCCTACTTCGACCCCTCTACTTTAGTTGTTTAAGTGAGACTTTTGCCATGTGGTCTTTGAACATGACTTTGCTATATAGGTGTCTAGCACATGTGCATTTTGCTTTGCTTTTACAATCATCAATGGAAAATAAAGTTATGGCATCGTTCATTTCACCGATTCGAGTTTTCAGTTTTAAGTTTTTACAGTAAAAAGCTCTCAGAAAATATCACATCTAATTTTTTCTATTACAGTGAAAAATTCTCACAAAATGTCACATCTCAATTTGAATTGAAAATTCGAATCCGCAAAGTGAACGAGGCCTATATAACTTAAGTGACAAAAGAAAAAAAAAAGGCAGAGAATAGCTTTCCATTATTGTATTTAGTATGAAATTCCTACACTAATCCTAAAATTGGAGTTCTTTCAAGGATTTCAAATCCCTCGTCTAATCAACTTCCTCCATTTTCTCTTCTACCGAACAACCATGAGTTACAATATCCTTCAACCCCCTAACCCCTACTAAACAATTTCCCACTAAACAATTTCCACTTTTCATACCTACCAAACAAACTCTTCGAAAAAATTGGAGAATGTGCACTCTTAATTCACCTCTCTAAATTTGTGCCCTCCTGAACTATGAAACTCAGTTTAAAGAGCGAAAGTGAAATGCCTTCCCGCCGCTTCTCTTTCCTACCAAAGATAGTGTAAATGCCGGAAAGCCCTTTGATGAAAAAGAAAAAATTTGCAATCAACATTTAATATGAAAAATAAAATTTATTTAACTTACCCTTAAAAGTGCGTAAATTTAAATTTTAATCCATTACTCTTAATTAATATCCTTTTAACTAATATAATATTTAACTTAAAAAGATATTAATCAAGAACAATAAATAAAAAATTCAGACTACTCATGTACTCAAAAAAATATTTCTCATTTTCCCCAAACCAAATAGTCACCAGACTGGCCCAACCAAATGAGATTGGGTTCTATTTATCACCTAGTTCTAGACTACAGGCTCAAGAGAAATATGCCAAGAACATGTATAGACTAAAACTCAAGGCTGCAGAAAATCATAATAAATAATAATGCAATCAACACCACCAAGGACCAACAATTTTGCAATCAACATTTCTACTACTATTATCAACCATCTAAAATAACAGGCCCAGTTTCAACGGATGACCATATGTAAAACCTTTTCATTGCAAAAGAGCATGAAAACAGACCAAACAAGTTTTTTTCGCTCAATCTCTGACCCACTCTCTCTATTTATTTACTACTAAGACAGCTTGATATGCTCCTGAGTCCCTGACAGAATGACAAACCCTCAGCCCATCGCATATTTCTGAGTCCAGGACCGAGCAGTTGACTCGTACTTCACTCTGTCGGTTTTGTACATGTGCGCGATTTCGGGCACAAGAGGATCATCCGGGTTTGGATCAGTAAGCAGTGAGCATATCGAGAGGAGGACCTGCAAGAAACATACTAGGTTTTAAACCGAATAACAAGTAGATTGCGCAATAGCAGAACTAAAAATGAAAACTTGAATCAAGATCTTTACCTTGGATATGGTAAGAGCAGGGCTCCACTGCTCTTTGAGGATGTCAAGGCAGATGCTACCATTGCTATTAATGTTGGGATGGAAAACCTTTGTCCGGAAGGAAACCTGCGTGAGTCCAATGCATAGAAATAAGCAATTCGTGCAAACCACTATTTTCCTTAAACATGTCGACAACATTGCAATGGATGATGGAACTAGTTGAAATTCCTATAAAAACTTGGCTGACAACTCTAGCCAATTCAGCCATATGCTCCTCCTGTTTTCTTGGCATTGGATGGAACACGTTCAAAAACTTGATAAAGATACTAGCATAAATTCCTAACACGCCAAAGAACCAAGCAAGGAAATGACAAATTCCTGGACCTATCATGTGTATTTAAGCACGTATTTCAATGCCACATATAATAAGAACAACGAAACTGAACACTGTTCACACAAACCATCCCAAGGACAAGAATGGAGTAAGATTTGGAGCAACAAAACCAAAGTACACTATATTAATTAATTAAAGAAGACAAATCACACAACTGCGGACATGGTGACAGCAGTATGTTTAGATAACAAGTATGCATGCATAATAAGGTCCAAATTGAAAGAAAACAGATAAAATGATAAAATGTGTTTTTTTGTACCTTTGGTGGCTTGAATGGGTAATCAGGTGGGAAGTGAATGGATACAAGAAAAACACCTCCAGAAAAAGGACTATCAGTGGGACCCATAATTGTTGCTTGCCAGTGAAACATGTCATCGGCCACAGGACCTGAATGATCCTCTTAGTAAGTATCAACAGCAGTAATAGTTTCGTATATTAAAAACAAAAATCAAACTTTCTGTTGTAAACCAGAACTTAGAAGTAGACACAGCCCTGATCGGAATCAAACCCAAACACCCATCTAGCACAAAACATTAACAAGGTGATACCCTTGTCTATGTTTAAGATAGCAAGTTACACCTTTCAAGTAAAAAGCGTGAGAAGTTTGTGTTGATAAAAGCTTTCTCACATAAACACTTGAAACCATTGTATGTGTAAAATCAGATTCGTGTGAGGTGTGGAAGCATAGTTAATTGTAAGTGTGCGTGTTGTTGAGCGGTTTAACAAACACCAAAAGCAATCATATTATCATCCAAACTTTAACCCATATAGACTATGACTACCGTCTACCAACCGGTCTTTCACCTCTATAGACTATGAAACAAATGTTAAAGCAAATTAGTCTCTTCTATTTGCTGGTTTGTCCATTTACCTCACAATTGATAAAGTATGGCTAAAAACCAAAAACGAAGTAATTACAGAATGCAAAGATGCCATTTGACCAAAGAGATTAAAAAATATGAATACCAGCACTGCAAGAAGCAGGAGGGTCCTTCTGTAAGTCCTTCAACTCCTTATTGATCCGCTTTGACGCCATCAAATATCCCAAAAAAGATAGAAACTTATCTTAAGAACTGCTCACTGAAAGGTTCAAAAACATGAGCTTCATTCATGAGTTAAACCAACCCCACCATTTAAAACAAAAATCTTACAAAGAAAAATCAACTTAAAAAATGAAGAGGCTAAGTTTCATGTTATGCCCACGAAACAGAAAATGCACAAGCTCGGTCCTGCGGGCCCAGATTAAGTCATAAAGGGTCCAGGCACATGGCCAATTTAATACGCGAACAAAACATAACTACGCCAAAGTACAACCAAACAAAACAGACTTCTAAATTAAAAGGGTTTCTAAATATTTGTAATTAAATTTAAAGGAACACTTTTCTCCAAATAAAAACAAAAATTAATGGACAAATTCAAGTAAAGCTCCATACAATAATTTGGAGAATTCTTTGACAGAGTAAGAAAAAAAATACTGAGCATCAGACTTTCGCAAAGTTACAACAAATTTTCACACTTTTTCAATTTCGGTATGATTCAAAGAACATAGTTCTCAGTAACTCATGTTATTTTTCACAACCTATAATAGAATTCTCCTAAAAATTTATCTCAGCAACAAAAACATTCCTTAAAATTTAATAAGCGAAAAAAAAAATCAAATTTGCAATTGCGTTTTCATTTTCATCTTAATCCCAGTTTTAAATTGCCAAACTTGAGCAAAGTTATATCTTTAAACAAGTCATAATCTCAGCCAAACAAATTTTCCATTTTTTTTTTAAAGATAAAAGTATCAAAAGAACAATAAAACTCAAAAAAAAAAAGAAGGAAAAAAAATAAACAGCAAGAATCGCGACGAAAAATTCAGATTTCAGAGAGAATATAAAAATGAAAACAGAACAATCAATCGACATATAATAGTAATAAAATAAAAACATTCCTTAAAATTTAATAAGCGAAAAAAAAAATCAAATTTGCAATTGCGTTTTCATTTTCATCTTAATCCCAGTTTTAAATTGCCAAACTTGAGCAAAGTTATATCTTTAAACAAGTCATAATCTCAGCCAAACAAATTTTCCATTTTTTTTTTAAAGATAAAAGTATCAAAAGAACAATAAAACTCAAAAAAAAAAAAGAAGGAAAAAAAATAAACAGCAAGAATCGCGACGACAAATTCAGATTTCAGAGAGAATATAAAAATGAAAACAGAACAATCAATCGACATATAATAATAATAAAATAAAATAAAAATAAAATAGAAAAAGATTCCGAAACCCTCGAAAACCACGAAGCTAAATTAAATAAATAAAAATAAAAAATAATAGGAATAATCAGAAATCATATACGAAGCAATAATCAGAGAAATACATAAATAACGGATAATCAAACTGACCTGTGTATGAGCTAGGGTTTGGTCAGGTGAATCGGAAGGAGAGAGAGAGAGAGAGAGAGAGAAATTTAGAAGAGAAAAATTGGTGAAATTGGGGGGTTTAAATAGAGAGAGAGAGAGAGAGAGAGAGAGAAGTGAAAGAAGGATTCGATTGACAAACGTAATTAAAAGGGGTGGCGCCTGGCGGTGATTCTTCTGCTTGTCACGTAAGCACACCCTCCTTTTTCGCCACCCTCTCTTCCTTTTTTTTTGCTTTTTTTTTCTTTATTTTTTTATTTTATTATTTCGAGAAATGATGTCAATTCAAGCCACCCAGCTCGGCCCAAACAATTCAAAAGGTGAAAATATGCTAGACCACATTCTTTTTCGAGTTGAACCGGTCTTGTCCGTGCGAGTAGAACTAAGCTATCTCATATTAGAGGTGTCAATTGACCCAACCGGCTACAGTAGTCAATTCGACACGGTCTAATTCTATACAGTACAAGATTGGGCCGGACCGGCACATCAGAAGGGTATGGGTTAGGCCTCATATTTGAGGCCCGCAGTCCATGCACGACCCAGACCCGTTAAGGCTCAGGCACGCAAAGGGTCAAGCACGGCCTAAGTCCGCGAAGGGCCATGCACGACTCGCGACATGAAATTTTAATGAGATTTGAGACATTTTAGTGTCAATTGGTCGACCTATGTAGTTCATTCAACCAATCATATTCTTATAATTATTCATATTATTTCAATAAAATCACATTTTTAGGGCATATGATATATTACTTTTTTTTGTTATCAAATATGAAATTATAAAAAAAAAAATCCTAAAAAATTGTTAAACATAAATGAAACTCAAGTGCATTAAGAAAATTAGTTAAAATTTTTGATACTGATTGGAAGTTTGGTGAGTACTTTTTTAAATTTTTAGAAGTTTTCTACAATACTACTGAATTACTTTCTAAAGTTTATTATCCTACTGCACATCTAGTTTTGTATCAACTATTTAATATTTCGAAAACATTCTCTTTTTATAGGGATACTGAACTTTTTGGAACTATAGTTAAGCTAATGTAAGCTAAATTTAAAAGTTATTAGTCTGGTTGTCCTATGTTATATGCATTAATAACCATTTTGGATCATAGGTGCGGAGTAGATGAAATTGAATATTTGATGACTGCTACGGCAAAAAATTTAGGCATTGATATGCAACTAACTATGACTGATGCTAGGAAAATGTTAGAAAAATTATTTGGTTTGTATGAAGCAAAATACGGAATAGGTAAAAAAGAACAGGAAACTTTGACGTCAACTAGCAGTTCGGGACCTAAAGGCTCCTTGTGGAGCTTCTTGAAGAAGAAAGAGAAAACGTCAGGATCATCATCAACATAAGAGTCTACCGAACTGGTAAAATATTTTGAATCAAATTTTGTAATCGATGACGACAAACTGAACATCTTACATTGGTGGAGGAGCAAGACCGATAGTTTTCCAACACTGTCCATAATAGCCCGTGACATTCTGACAACTCTAGTGTCAATGGTAGCATCGGAGCAAGCAATTAGTGCAAGCAACTGAATTCTTGACGAGAAGAGAAACAGAATGTATCCGGATATCTTGGAGGGGCTAATATGCGTCAAAGACTGGGAAGATGCCAGAAGGCAAAAACAACACTATATGGATTATTCAATTCAAAATTATTTTTCTAACTTAGACATAACAGAATCTTCTAGAAGCACTTAGGTTTTGTAATTTACTTATCCTAGAATATTGCACTCTTTTTTCATTCGCTAAGGTTTTGTTCCAATCTCCATATGGGTTTTACTTGGCAATGTTTTTAACGAGGCAATCATTTATGCGTACTTATTCATATTATTTCAATTCAATAAAATCACATCTTTTGGGAGCATATGATATATTTTTTTTAGTTAAATATTGCAAAAACATTTAAAAGCATCAAGGTCGGCCCTAACCCTTATGGACTAAGGCCGAGGGCCAGTGCTGGGCCTGTGGGTTTCTCTTCAGGCCCAGACCTGACACGACCCATGTCCTTAACGGGCCTGGGTTAGAAGGGTCGTGCCAGCCCGGCACGACCCTTTGACAACTCTAGCTCATACAAAAAATAATAATAATAAAATAAATAAAATAAAATAAATTAGTCTAGTCAATCCGTTCCAGTTAGGTTATTGGGCCTTTAGATATATGCTCAGTTTGGGTCTTTATGCATGTTAAGCTGGGCATTGGGTCAGTTGATATGGTCCAGTCCAAATTAACATACCATATGTTCTTTCGAAGTATCAAAATATTTTACGTCAATAGTTTGTAAACTTTCAAAAAAAAATTACAAAGACATCTTCTCTGTCAGTTAATCTAGACAAAATGTTCTTTCGAAGTATCAAAATATTTTACGTCAATAGTTTGTAAACTTTAAAAAAAAAATTACAAAGACATCTTCTCTGTCAGTTAATCTAGACAAAAAAAATGTAGTTTGACTACTAAATGATTTGTAAATTTTAAATATATCTACATATATTAGAAAATGATCCTAATAATATTTTATTACGCATAGTAACTGCATAGTACCTCATAGTTTTCCTATAAATAGGCCTTCAGAATTCATTATTCATTGTCCTCGAATTTTAGAAACAAAATTATTTCTCTCTTCTTCTTTCTAAAATACTTTTTCTTAGTGAAGGTTCTAGCTCTAATCTTCGAAGGTCAGAGTTCTGCTGATAAGGTATGAGTTCTAAACTCGTTATTATTTATGATTTATAGTTTTGTTTTACTATAGTACAGCTTACGTAAATAATCTAGGTTAATTCATTATAAGTCGTTATAATGCTCAATTACCATAAACATGAATAATACATGTATGCGTAAATAGTGACCGTATATGTGAATATTTCCCATATGCATAAATAGTCATTATATGCATGAATAGTACTCAAATGCGTGAATAATACCCTTATATGTGAATAGTGTCATATATGTGAATAGTATCCATACATGTGAATAATACTATATGCATGAACCAAATCGTATGACTGAAAAATACCGTACTATACCCAGGAATACCGTGTATGTGAACTTTATGGACTTTAGACAAAGGACCGAAGGACCAAATTATTGGACCTAATGGACAACATGATGGGATAATTTATGGACCTGAAAGTGAAGTGAAAATGGAATAGCAGTTCTATATGTTTAGTTATTATGTTAGTATTATTAATCTATTTTGGTTACTGATATAGTATTGTGGTTGTTATTATATTGGTTAGGAGTATATTTTCTTACGGGACGCTAAGACAAGGTAAGTAAAGATCTCACATACAACGCAAGTTAAAATATATTGAAAATTATTTTCAGTACGTTTATACTTACTATCTTCTGGTTATAACTTCTCATACAGTATCTTTGCATCTGCTATATTAAAGCATTGCATTCACTTTAAAGTTGAAAGATAATAGGATATGTTGCCTAAGTAATTATTTAGAAATTATTTCAAGACTAGGTGCCTTCATAGGAGTATAGAGCTCAACAGAAATTATTAAGCCAATAGTTAGCAATTAAATAAATTAAAGTTTACTCATGTAGTATTCTCCAGGGCATTAAGATGAACAAAAAGAAAAAAGCAAAGTATGAGCATAAATGAATTTTAACTTTCATGTGAGATAATAACTTTGCTTACTAAGCATTAGGTCATCAGTTTATTTATACTTGTGTTGTAGGTAAGGGAAAAAGTACATTGAATTAAACTGGAGAATGAGCAAGGTGCTAAGCTGACGTATTAGTACATATGGAACCGACCTGTTGGGAGAAAAGTTTAAAAGGGGGAACCATCATATTTTAAATAATTACGAGCGTGTATTTAAGACTTTATGATGTGAAATTTTATGAATTATGTTATGTAACAAAAGTTTAAACTTGTTCAAATTTTTGTATAGTACGTGTTATCAATTATTGTAATATATTTGGATATTCGTATCTTTGTAATAGTTACATTTTAAAAGGGGATGTTACAATTACCTTAATAAATATAAAAAATTAATAACAAAATATGGTAATTTAAAACCAATTCACATGACTAGAAAGACATAGTTTTATTTTTTTAATGCGAAACAACATTTCATTAGTCAACAAAGCATGAAACTTACAGAGAACTCAATATAGAAAACTGATACAACAAACCAAATTTGGTAGATCCGTTGGCGTCTTAGTACAGGGATCCAAAGTCCGATGATGGACACAATTTGGAGTACTTCTCTCGGCTCGTTTAAACCCTCCACGGTTGGCTCTTCCGAAGGGGCTGTAGTAAACTCTCTGCAAAAACTGATTTTGAAAGCCAGTATTCTTCTAAATCAAGCTCGCCGAAGCGGAAGATCTAGCAAAACGCATACAGAAGATGAAAAACAACACAAAACTCACATAAGGTTAGAGTTTGGTGGGGGGAACACAATTGAAATCAACAAAAACAACGAAAGCCCACATAAAACTAACGATTTGTGGGGAAACAAACACCAATACTGACAGAATGACTGCCTTTATTCCACCAATGACTAAAAAAAAAAAAGAAAAACGTCAACACGGACTCCATCATCATATAGATTGACTGACGTAGAGCGCATATGTGTATTTTAAAAGCCGGCTGATTGGAGACATGCTTCCGGTAGTTGCCCAGACTATTCTTCTTTTTTCATGCTCTCTCTTTCTCTGGAATTCTCTCTCTGATTAAATGGAAAATGACATGTATATTAATTAGTATCATATGGATATCTAAAGCATAATCCTACTTGAGTGGGTATCTAACCTTTTTTATGCTTTCTAGTTTCCATCAGTTGTACAACCTAACCTACAGATTAGATCCTAAAAAATTTAGCAAAAGAAAAAAAAATCCCAAAAACAAAATAATTTGTATAAATGATCCCCAAAAGTTCTCAAGGAAAAAGCAAGAACTACGCGTTATATGCTTTTCCATTAATTTATACATTTTGGATATGCAAAAATATATATTAGCTATAACCACTATAGTTAACCCCAAAAAAATTCTCAAGGAAAAGGCAAGCACTATGCATTATATGAT